TATTATTTCTTTTAAACGCTTTATGAAAACACATTAAAGTTTACGTACAAATAAGATGATTTATAGAGATGGGGTATGTTTATCGGACAAAACATGGTACATTTATTTTTGGAACTTTTCGAACATTTATTACATAGGCTTGTTACATGTCTTTTATATTTGTAATTACAAATGTGAAATCTATGTCGGGTATAACTAAATTATCAAAGATATTTTGATATGCATTTTAATCTCTGATATTTAAAGTTATACATTTCAGTTATTCAATTTAAAGATTAAAATTTCTATTTGAAAAGTTCAAGGTCAACAAATAAATGTGTGTTATTGTATGTTCATCATTTTATTGCATCTCTTTAGTGAAACACTGTGTCTATCGTTCCATACCATTTCACATATTAGTGTTGTCCTTAACGTGATCCGTAGATGTAAAGACATCCGTGCCCATTAATGATGGTAAAACAACCGTGTGATAGAGGGCTAAAATGTCGGCTAATGTGACTTTAGAAAGTAAAGAGATCAAAGTTGTCTTGTTAAACAATCAATTAGAGCGGATTACACGTAGTTTGTCTCTCTAGCTGTCTGTTTTCAATAGCCAGTGACATCAATATCCTGACAGCAGACATTCTATAACATGATAATCATACAATACCGTTACAATTATACACCAATTACACACAATAATGGACAGGCTTCATTTTCCTATCATATAACTATTTAACTAAGCTCATATATCTCTGTGTACTATTCATTATCTCATATTTGTACTAAAATAAATGCATATTGCAATCCGTTTTGTCTTATATCATCAGATTGAGTATAATAATTCCCAAACATAATATCTGTCATCATCACCGTGATCGTGATTATCATCGTCAAATTGATCATCATCATCGTCACCTTGATCATCAACACTTTCGTATGGCAATTGTCATTATTATCGTCAGTTCTATAAGTTTCTCTAAAAGTACAATCATCAAAATCGTATGTCTTGGTGCGGCTGGGTGGTAGGGCTATATAGGAATCACTTTTTCATACCCTAATTTCTAATATTACTGACAGTAGATCAGAAATTTATGGATACATTTAATTTATATAAAGGATCATGAGCAAGATAAGCGGCACAATTTAATAATTCTGTATTGTTTTTTGTTTAAATCAAGATTTGCAATAAATGTTTCTTTTACAAATCATTATTGAAATACCATTGAAAGTCCAATATACTAGAAACAAGAGTGTTACTATTGTAAAAATTACTATTGTCATAAATTATATACATTGACTACTATAAAAATCAAACCAGTATCATAACAACTATAACATATATGTATAAATTATGTATCTCCCAACTAGTGCTTCCTTCATGCTCTATAAATACTCTCCAGTCGATTTCTTTGTTGATGGCTTTTTTTAGTATTCTGGCATTGAGATTTTATCAAACGTTAGAGGGGTAAGTGTCTCAATCTTTATACTGAAAGGTTAATTCGCGTTCTATAAAAATAAAATGCCTCATAAAGCTTGTGAGTTGATAATCTCTGATCATGGTATGAGATAACTAAACTGTTTACATGTAAAAGGGCGATATAAAAATCATAGTACATATCTTATGTTTTTATGATCTTCATACTTTTACATTTAACATATAAAAGTTAACCGTAAAAGCTATTGTAACATGACAGGGTATTTGGACTTCAAGTTATATCATGTAACTTTAAATCATGTACAATTATGTGCCCATGCTATTCAATGTGTATTTCTACAGTAGCAAGACTGAAATTCATTTCTTTTCTACGACTCCTTTGTTGTTTTGAAATAGAATGTAACAGCCATGGTAATAAAACTACAACCGATGTTATTACCCACAATCTTACCCTTTTAAATGAGAACTCATTTTGTCTTAAAACAAAACAGTGTTGTTTCCTCGTTTCAAACATTTATTTCAAAGGAATAAAATGTAATTTGTGGATGTTTATAGTTAATTTGTTGATGTTTATAGTATTTTCATCCTGAAGATCAATGCTCAACAACTTTTAAAAGAAGACATGAAGGGTGTGTTTATTATATTTAGTGAATAGCCTCTGTGATCAACTGCTATATCTCGAAAATAAACAAGCTTTATTTTCATGTTTTATGAAATAAACAAACTTCAAAATAAAACGTGAAGAATACAAAGCATAAAGGATAAATGTCGGCCCAGCCTGTGTTACCTTCTTGTTGTTTATTTATTCATCTTTTGAGTATTTTGATAATACTTCTCCTTGCTTTTCAGAACCCTGTCTCATGTGTTTTTATTTCTTTCAAATCATATGGCCCCCATAACGTTTATATTGTAACATTATCTGTTTAGATACGTTATTACAGCACTTAGTTCACAACATGATACAAATATATATTAAGCTTTAGGATCAAGTACTTGTATCAGATATTAACTCTTCAACATTATTTCATTGTGCTCATACGATTTATGCTCCTCAAATAATAATTTTCTTGTTTTCATTTCAAAGCTTTATTATTCAAGACTTTTAAAGTTTATTACATAATCTTATTTTAAACAATTTGCAACAGGTATTGAAAATACACTGTCCCCGTATTCTTAGGTAATAAAATGCTAACTTTTGACTAGTAGTCAAAACCAAAAAATATATATATATATCAAAGTGACGCAAATTGTCATGTAACGCGTTTCATCATTTAAACTATTTTTGTTATAAATTGGTCATGATTAAAGAGCACACAAGTGTATGCTCGAGATAAAGGCGTGCACACAAATCCCTATTAAAATCAGTGTGTGCTAAGTTTGCATTTATCAAACGCTTCATTCAGTAGCAGTGGTTATAAAATATATTTATAAGATATCTGAAACTATCACGCCTTGCTAATAAACTCGACAAGATTAACGCAGTCTTGCTTCCCATGAACTCCTAGCGATACAAAATTGTTGAATTAAAAGATTAAAAGTTACTTTGTTCACTCTAATACCAAATAACCCAGGTGTTTATCAACAGTAAAAAATATCTTTAACTATTAAATCAACCCCTCACACTCGTTGTTATTAAATATGAGAAATAAGGTTTATGCTGTTTTCTAAATAATAAAAAATGGTTTTATTTTATTTGCAAAGATGGATAGTTATAACAATGGCAGGTGTATCTTAAAACCTTATTTCCTTTTTATAAAACACGATTGTCCTAAAATAAATCTGAAAGAAATCCAACAAAACTAGAGACAAAATCAGTATATAGTAACCCATATAAAGTGGTTATATTAACATATAGTTACCTGGTTGAATTGATCTGTTGTAAATTGTAAAAAGTGATTAGATTGATCTGTAGTTATCTGGTTAAATTAATCTGTAGTTACTCGTATAAAGTGGTTATATTAATATGTAGTTGCTCGTATAAAGTGGTTATATTAATCTGAAATTACATGGTTGAATTAATATGTAGTTACTCGTATAAAGTAGTTATATTAATTTGTTGTAACCTGGTTGAATTAATCTGCAGATTCTCGTTTGAAGTAGTTATATTAATATGTAGCTACTCGCATAAAGTGGATATATTAATCTGTAGTTACCCGTATAAAGTGGATAGTTAATATGTAGTTACTTGAATGAAGCGGTTATATCAATGTGTAGTTACTCGGAGGAGGTGGTTATATTATACTGTAGTTACCCGATTGAATTAATCTGTTGTTACTTGTATAAAGTGGCTATATTGATCTGTAGTTATCTGGTTAAATTAATATGTAGTTACTCGTATAAAGTGTTTATATTTATCTGTAGTTATATGGTTAAATTGATATGTAGTTACTCGTATAAAGTGGTTATATAATATGTATTTACTTTTATAAAGTGGTTATATAATATGTATTTACTTTTATAAAGTGGTTATATTAATATGTATTTACTCGTATAAAGTGGTTATTTTAATCTGTAGTTACTCATATAAAGTGGTTATATCAATATGTAGTTACTCGTATAAATTGGTTATTTATTGAGGATATTTGTTTGTTTTTGTGTAAGATTAAATTTTATTTCTAGTGAGCTTTAAAAACGGTATTCTCACGAGTGCCGTAGCCACTTTAGTTACTCGTATTAAGTGGTTATACTGACCCATAGTTACTCGTATTAAGTGGTTATATTCATCCATAGTTACTCGTATAAAGTGGTTATATTCATTCATAGATACTTGTATAAAGTGGTTATATCCATCCATAGTTACTTGTATAAAGTGGTTATATTCATCCATAGTTACTCGTATAAAGTTGTTATATTCATCCATAGGTACTCATATAAAGTGGTTATATTCATTCATAGTTACTTGTATAAAGTGGTTATATTCATCCATAGTTACTTGTATAAAGTGGTTATATTCATTCATAGTTACTTGTATAAAGTGGTTATATTCATTCATAGTTACTTGTATAAAGTGGTTATATTCATTCATAGTTACTTGTATAAAGTGGTTATATTCATTCATAGTTACTCGTATTAAGTGGTTATATTCATTCATAGTTACTTGTATAAAGTGGTTATATTCATCCATAGTTACTTGTATAAAGTGGTTATATATATATCCATAGTTACTCGTATAAAGTTGTTATATTCATCCATAGGTACTCATATAAAGTGGTTATATATTGAGGATATTTGTTTGATTTTGTGTAAGATGAAAATTTATTTCACCTACTGAGCTTAAAAACAGTACTTTCACGAGTGCCGTAGCCACTTAAGTTACTCGTATAAAGTGGTAGATTCATAATATTAATCGTGTAAATTGGTTTAATTTTTTCGGGTTCGCTTACTGCCTGCATGTTTGAGTTCTTTAACTACAAACACAAGTATGAACTATATACAATTTTCTTATATCATTGTATCAAATATTTTTGGAATATATTTGATCTCATTTCATGATAAATATGTTTGATATTTGCGGATTAATACAGCTGGGACGAAAACCCCTCTTAATCACTTATTCAAAGTTAACATTCTATTTACGTTTCAGGTTCCTCATCTTTAACTTTGATACGTATCAGCAGAGATTAGTTCAACTTGGATACCATGATATGCTCGACTAGGTAAAATAATTCGTGTACAGTGATAAATTCATTTTTGAAATATTCCCAGGGAGTCGCCTGAAATAATTTCATAGTTGCATAAAAATTTATGCGGATTAAATAAACAAATTTGTAACCAGACGTGAGTTCTGTAACATCTATAGCGAGGATGCTGTGAAAAGAAAAAGAGAAATGATGGATGGCTGAGGAGCTATATAAGTTTCTTGTGGAAAAGAAAGTTATGTAAATATATCAAAGGTAATCATCTCATTTTATATCAATCGTTAAATTCAATAATTGCATGTTATGTAATTAAAAATGAATTGTTGATGTGACAGTCAAGATATGCGCTTTTAATCATATGTTATGATTATGTTAAATTTAGCTGCTGAATCAATTGCAAATGTTAATTATGTTAAACATAAAAATCGAAATTAGCTGCTTTATCAATTGCAAATGTTATGTTATAATTATGTTAAACATAAAAATCGAAATTAGCTGCTGAATCAATTGCATTATAACTAGGTTGTATACATAGCTACGAAAGCCTAATAGTGTCAAATGAAATAAAAAATAAAAATACAAAGGCGTTATAACGCGAATAAAGGCGTTATTACGCGAATCAAAAGGCGTAATAACGCGAATAAAGGCGTTATAACGCGAATCAAAAGGCGTAATTACGCAAATCAAAAGGCGTAATAACGCGAAAAAAGGCGTAGCAACGCAAATAAAGGCGTAGCAACGCGAATAAAGGCGTTATAACGCGAATCAAAAGGCGTAATAACGCGAATCAAAAGGCGTAATAACGCGAATAAAGGCGTAATAACGCGAATCAAAAGGCGTAATAACGCGAATAAAGGCGTAATAACGCGAAATGAAAGGCGTAATAACGCAAATCAAAAGGCGTAGTAACGCGAATAAAGGCGTTGTAACGCGAACCAAAAGGCGTACTAACGCCAATTATAGCATAAAATCGGCTGTTTTTCCCTCTTTTGCCCATGTTATAACGGGACCAAAACCATGTGTTAACATAGTCACGCGCTCTTGTTATAGCCCGGTTTCACCTATGCGCAATACATACAGGGCCAAGTAAACAAACAATCAAACAAAAAATGACGATTTGGCCTGTTTATGCTATTGAAATTTATTGATTCGAGGGCCTCAGTCGCATATTCAAGTAACTATGCCGGAAAACGGCGTATAGACATCGGTGCTAATCTTGGTTGTCGCCCTTTCTAAGAAACGGACAGTTGTCAATGTAAACAAATACAGTAGAATCTAGATCTACCTGTCATTCATTTTAACACTCCGATTAACTTACAAAACTAGATAACACAAAATTAATATGAGAAAATGTTTTTTATTTATGTAAATGTTGATAAATGCTCTTTATATTTCTTTGAGAGAATAATGCTTACAGTAGTGCCTGATTTTTTTATAAACTTGTTTGCTTGAAAAAAAAACCGATTCTGATGTCACTGATCTTTTTTCTACCGTCAATCTGAAATCATTCTAAGAATTTCTGAGGGTCATGTTTTGTCTTGGGTAGAGGGTAGAGTAATGTAACGGTTTTTTTTCTTGAGATAATAAATCTCCAAAGGCCAAGCTTTGTTAAATCAATTAAAATTCAAAATTTCGTTCGGTTCGTTGTTGGCCCCGGAAAAAATGAAACGCATACGTAAAACATAGATTTGGATAAATACCGTCCAAGCACAAGAATTTAATGTAATTGTGTTTTGTATAAACTATACATCACGAATCTGTTTGAAAATTGTATGCAATAATAGCGTCAACGCACGTTTATTTCGTGTTATAAAGTCTGCAGAGTCCCTCGGAAGTGTTGGAGCCCTCGCCCTACCGGGCTCGGGCACCAACCGTTCCTTGGGACTCTGCAGACGTTATAACACGGAAAAACGTGCGTTAACCCTATATTAAAACGAATTATAATGCCAATTTAATACCATATTTATACTAATCAAATGGCCTGGTAACGTAAGAAAGCAAGACCAATATTGATCTGAATTTATTCCTCAAGATATAAACTCGTATAGAATAATAAAATATATATTTACAATAACTAACATTCCATTTGCGCAGTAATAATGCAAACTATTTCTCATAAACTAATGAAGACTCTTTAATATTTGCCAATTTAAGGTGTCTGGGTGCCTTATAGGTCCATTGGACTGGACGTAAATACAGTTAATCTGAATTCACATGTATCATATATTCCTTTTAGACATGTCACTATAGTAAATGAATTTCTTTTCTTTTCTTATCTTATCTTATCTTATATGTGCGTCATATGTTTAATTATCTTCGGATATATCCTATTTGATTACCTTATAACATCTAGTATCTTCTAATTATGTGAATGCCATTCCTAATTAAGCTATAGGTAATATGCTATAGGTAACAAGATTTGGGAAAACGTAAGGTATAAGTTAGTCACATTAGGGTGATAATTGATAAGTATGTTTAAATGGGGGATAGTGTTTCAGTTAAGTCACAATTATAGGAGACATTCCCTTCTTTGTCTATGTAGAAAAGTATCTATAGTTGGGTGAAAGTTAACCTTTAATCTGACGAAAGCATTTCCTAATAAAAGATTTAAAAAATAAGACGGTGGCCTTAGGACGTATCCGTACGGAATTGAAAATAAAACGTTCGTCTTGATCGATTTATTTAGATCAAATTGTTCTTCCTATCTTACATTACTAGGCCACGGTTTGGAATTTATATGGTATTAAATTAGCGTTATAACGCCTTTTGTTTTGCGTTATTATGCCTTTTGGTTCGCGTTATTACGCCTTTTGATTCGCGTTATAACGCCTTTATTCACGTTATTACGCCTTTTGATTCGCGTTATAACGCCTTTATTCGCGTTAGTACGCCTTTTGATTCGCGTTATAACGCCTTTATTCGCGTAATTACGCCTTTTGATTCGCGTTATAACGCCTTTATTCGCGTTAGTACGCCTTTTGATTCGCGTTATAACGCTTTTATTCGCGTAATTACGCCTTTTGTTTCGCGTTATAACGCGAATAAAGGCGTTACTACGCCTTTTGTTTCGCGTTATAACGCCTTTATTCGCGTTATTACGCCTTTTGATTCGCGTTATAACGCCTTTATTCGCGTTAGTACGCCTTTTGATTCGCGTAATTACGCCTTTGGATTCGCGTTATAACGCGAATAAAGGCGTTATTACGCCTTTTGTTTCGCGTTATAACGCGAATAAAGGCGTTACTACGCCTTTTGATTCGCGTTGCTACGCCTTTTTTCGCGTTATTACGCCTTTTGATTCGCGTTATAACGCCTTTATTCGCGTTATTACGCCTTTTGATTCGCGTTATAACGCCTTTATTCGCGTTATTACGCCTTTTGATTCGCGTTATAACGCCTTTATTCGCGTTAGTACGCCTTTTGATTCGCGTAATTACGCCTTTGGATTCGCGTTATAACGCGAAACAATAGGCGTAATTACGCGAATCAAAAGGCGTACTAACGCGAATAAATGCGTTATAACGCGAATCAAAAGGCGTAATAACGCGAACCAAAAGGCGTAATAACGCAAAACAAAAGGCGTTATAACGCTAATTTAATACCATATAAATTCCAAACAGTGGCCTATTAATGTATGGAAGGAAGAACAATGTTGATTTAAATGAATTGATCTTGATGTACGTTTTATTATATGCCCGAAAGAATTTCGGGCATATTATGTTATACCCCCTGGCGTCCGTACGTCCGAGCAAACATTTTGGGTTTAGGGGCTATATAACAGTAAAGAGAACAAAAGAGAACAATAGGTTCAATCCGTGATCAAAGGGTTTATGGGCTAGTAGCCCTTAAGAGAACAAAGAAAATAACAAAGAAAATAGCCCCTAAACCCAAAATGTTGGAACGTGCGTCCGTCCGTCTGTATGTCTGTCTGTCCGTCCGTCCGTAAGCAATTTGGTTTCGGGAGCATAACTTAAGTTCCATTTGGCCCACAATATTCAAACTTCATAGGAGGATTGTTATTTGAAGGAGGTAATACTTTATAACCTATAAGTCACCAAGTCATCTTATATTGGCAAATATTAAAGAGTCTTTATTAGTTTATGACAAATAGTTTGCATAATTACTGTGCAAATGGAATGAAAGTTATTGTAAATGTATATTGTATTATTGTATACGAGTTTATATCTTGAGCAATAAATTCAGATCAATATTGGTCTTCCTTTCTCGCGAATTTGATTAGTATAAATATGGTATTAAATTGGCATTATAATGTGTTTTAATTTGCGTTATTACGCCTTTTGGTTCGCGTTACTACGCCTTTATTCGCGTTACTACGCCTTTTGATTTGCGTTATTACGCCTTTATTCGCGTTATTACGCCTTTTGATTCGCGTTATTACGCCTTTATTCGCGTTATTACGCCTTTTTATTCGCGTTATAACGCCTTTATTCGCGTTACTACGCCTTTTGATTCGCGTTATAACGCGAATAAAGGCGTTACTACGCCTTTTGATTCGCGTTATAACGCCTTTATTCGCGTTATTACGCCTTTTGATTCGCGTTATAACGCCTTTATTCGCGTTGCTACGCCTTTATTCGCGTTATTACGCCTTTTGATTCGCGTTGCTACGCCTTTATTCGCGTTCTTACGCCTTTTGATTCGCGTAATAATGCCTTTATTCGCGTTATAACGCCTTTGCATTTTTATTTTTTATTTCATTTGACACTATTAGGCTTTCGTACATAGCTGCTGACCACAAAACAAAAACAAATTCTATTCTTTCTGTAGTATTTAGGCAACATTTTGTTCCCGTAAGAAACGAAGTGGTTTTGCGGTCTTCGTTACTTTCAAGATCTGCTTTCTTGTGAAGGTCCCTGCGTGCAAAGATATTCTTATTAAACAGCTGAATTATAACAAATATTGCATCCGTAAAAGTTTTAATGAACCGTGTGATAATTTAGTATGCCAGAAAGTATGTTATTGGCTGTACCTCTATGATCGTTGGTCTAGAACGTGTATACCGCCACATAACGCTCTCGTGGGCGGGCCTTACATACTGATCACTTTCATATCGTTTGAAAATTTGTGCGGTAATATGTGTATGGATTTAAACCTTGTAAATTTTCCCACATTTTAACTAATTTATACCGTGTGAGAAACAATTTACAGTGTTATTAGAGTAAATTATAAGGAATTTGCTATGGATGCTGTTAACAACTGAGTTTCTCTATAGATAGCTCAAGCGAAAGAATTCA